GGGCGACTTACAGAAAACATTAAAACTATAAATATATCTAAAACACATAATACATCCAAAAGATCCAAGAAGATGGAAAATCATATATGCTGTATGCATGTTAATAAAGTTGTGTTGTACAGGTACTCGTCAGTTAACAACCATTCATTCAGCAATCGTTTGTAATGGCATGTGGGAATGACCTGGGGAGACTGGGCCAAGGGACCTTGCCTAGGGAACGGTCAGATAAGAGAGAGCATAGCCTGCAGCTGGATAGTGGGTGGGGCAAGAGGCTCAGGAAAGACCCTCCCTAATTTCTCAGGCTCTAAAGGAGATGGGGGGAGAATTGTAGTTTCAGACTTGCAAGATTCCGTTAATGTTGACTTATAATAAAGTAGAATTAGCTCATCTGGTCGTATTTCCTGTCTAGTTCCCCTGGTAAGGCTGACATTGTTTGAAGTTACAATGGCACTGAATGAGACTTATGGCCGTTGCTCGAAGTTGCAGTTGTCACATGATCGCAATTCAGGTGCTTGGCAACTGGCTCGCAATTATGACACCTACAGCATCCCGCAGTCACGTGATCACCATTTGCAACCTTCACAGCCAGCTTCCACAAGCAAAGTCAATGGGGAAGCTGGCAAGAGGTCATAAATGCCGATCGCATGACATTGCACCGGAACTGCTGCAACTGCTGTCGTAAGTCAGCATGGTCACATGACGTCACACTTTACAACCGCGTTGCTTAGCAGTTCCAATTACCGTTGTTAACCGAGGACTACCTGTATCTTCAAAGTGCTTTGGTTGCTTTGGGTGAGCCAAATTTTGGCCACAACTAAACACTCAAGGCAATGTACAAGAACTTAAAAACACATTGTAAAAAGCATCCGCGTGGAAAGCCATCACATCAGGGAAATGCTGCTCCAGACAGCAGGAATGGTGATTGAGAAGGCACACCTCCACGGTCCCATAAGGTGGCACTGTTTTTAGGGGTTCTGCATACCAGCTAGTGAAGTCAATTGACCAAACCTGAATTCCAGAAAATTAAATCTAAAAAAAAATCCAAGCAGAGTGTGGCAAACCCCGCCACCCCACCCACACGTTCATTATTCCTTGCCAGCAAAAAAAACAGGCTAGCAGTCTGCTCTTGGTCAGTAATTGGTAACTGCCAGCAGAAAAAAGCCAGCTAGACCATCTGGTCTGTTCTTTGTCAGCAAGCAAGGAACAAGAAGTGCTTCTGACGCATCTGAGCATGTGCCATAACGTCACAATACAAGCCCCGCCCCCAATGGAATCATGACCCAAGACATATAACGGAGGGGTTTACACAGTGATGTCACTGCTGCTGACACCCCTGGCGGTTTTGTTGATGAGACCCAGCCAGATCTCATAGGAGCCAATCCTGTAAATTTACCTTTCCCCAGTGACATTTACACTTCGGCCTGCAAAACAAGCAGAAACTAGCAACTGCTATAGATAGAGGATACTCCCAGGTTCAGAGGCAAAATGCAAGGCAGGCCTGTGGAAGGGGTTTGCTGGGCGTCCTCATTCATGGAGAGCGAAGACGCAAGGGGACCCGGGGGCGAACCGTTACTGCAAGAAATCTCTTCCTCCCTCTGGGCATTTAGGAAGATGCTGAAATATGCCATGAGCATTCAAGATCTGATGATATACAGGGCTATGGACTATTAGGATTAAAGTAGGACTAAAGAGTCAAGTTAGCCTTGGGTAAATATTATGGTTTGTGTGGTTATTGTTTGATGGGGATTATGTTGCCGCCACGGGCCTCTTAAGAGTCTTGAAGTAGGGATTGAAGTAGCAACGGTAATACGTGAAAAAGGGGAGGGAGAAGGGAAGGGGGAAGAGAAGTTGAGAAGAGAAGAACAGAGAAGTTGAGGGAGGATCACTGAAGAGAGCAGGACTGGAGATCACAGCAGAGCAGAGCTCTGCACTCATTGAAGCCCTGTGGGCTTCCCTAGCGCCATTTTGTTGCCTCCTCTGAAAGAAAAGATACTTGACGAATGGATTTCCATACGAACCCAGAGATCATGTTCTTATGTCCTCAGCTTTGACAGAAGTGAGGAGAAGAGAGAGGCTTGTTCAGGGCCAGAGAGATGAACAGGAAAGAGAGAGGCCCCTGCTTTCCTCAGCCCATCTTCCCAATGACCCTTCCTCTTACCTGATCAGGATCTACCACAGTGCTCTCCATTCCACCATGAGGAAAAAGCGATGTTGCTTGTATGTTTGTCTCCCCTGGAAAAGACAAAGGAGGTTGTATCTCAGTTGTAAACGCATCAAGATGTGAGCATCTTGGAACATGAGGGTTCTGATTTCGGAGCAAAACATGGGTAGGACTGCAGTACTGTTGAAGCCAGCTCCTGGACCTGAGAGTGTTGGGAAATGCCTTGTCCTTTTATTTGAATTTTAGATTAATTTTGACACCAGTATTCAAGACAAGAACGCTTTCTGATCTATAGAAAATAGGCTGGAATTGAAAAGACATTGATTCATTTTAATGCTGATTGGAAGCCCCTTTTGGACCTTTTGCGTGAAACACAAAAAAATGGAATTGTGATATATGGATTTGACAATTAGAAATAATAGTAGGCAAGAGAAAAAATGAAAGTTATGTTGTAAACTTAGAGTAAGAGCTTAAAGCAAATTTATATTTATATCTGTTGGGAAAGAAAGTTGGAAGTCATTTTCCTTTTGTATTTCTTTTTCTTTCTTTTCTGCACTTCTGCCTTTGTTTTCTTTTTCATTCTTTACGTTCTTCTCTTCTCCACTTCCTATCTTAATTATCCATTCTTGTTAGTTGTTATCCCTTTACCTTAAAAATTAATGAAGTTATTTGAAAAAAAAAAGAAAAAAAGGCTGGAATCAATCCTTCCTTCCCACCCTCCCAAAAAACTTTAGAAAGAGGAAATTATCTCATCTTTTTGTTCATCCTCCAGAGAGTGGCTACACTGAAATAATATCCTCCTCCATCAAACGGTCCTTACCTCATAAGGGGGCACCTCACCTGCCTCTCTCTGCTGCATGACGCCCCTCTGCCTGGGGACCGATGCCCCGGTCTCTGCTGCAAGGGAAGCAGGTCCCACGTCTTGAAACAGACTTGGCCTCTAAAACATGCGAAGAGGAGCAGGATAGGAAGGAAGGAAGGAAGGAAGGAAGGAAGGAAGGAAGGAAGGAAGGAAGGAAGGAAGGAAGGAAGGAAGGAAGGAAGGAAGGAAGGAAGGAAGGAAG